AATAAATTATTATTCAAATGATTTTTTTACAATTATTCGAATAAAAATTTATTCGATTAAATTTCAAACATAGAAATTCGAACAATTTTCATTTATTTCATCTTGATAAACATAGGGTTGATAATTAAAAACAGGCAGATATTATAAAAAATAGTTGGCATTGTATTTTAAGTTACACGATTGAGAATTATTTTATTATCAGAAAAATGTAAAAATATTTTAAATAAACAAATAGATATCAATAGAAGAAAGTTACTTCCAATTATGCGCGTGTGTTAATATTATTGTATTGATCAACAGTTGACCGTAATAATATAGATTTTATATTTAATATATAGGTGTCATGTAACATACTATAGTATTGTTACAGTACCTATGATATATTATAAACGACAATAGCTACATCTAAAAAAATGATTTGATTATAAACTATGTTTAATCAAATAAAATAACAAAAAATTATTCGTATAACTGTCTTTGAAATTTAGTCGAATAATTATAGTTGAAAATTATTCAAATACATATTTATTCGAATAATTATTTAGATACAATTTTACCCAACACTACCTACCAGTAAGAATCTATCGCATAAAACGCCAATATTAAACTTAGTGTTTAGTTATATGATAAAATACTCACTCTAGTTTGAAACTTGAATTCACATTATATTTCTGGTGCAATGTATATTAACCTTTATTAAAAGAAGCCCAAAGAATAAGATTCAAACATTAACGAAAAATATTTATCGTAATTCACAGTCACATTTCGTATAAAGATCTAAAGATGACATCTTATATAGCTACATTATAAAGCTTCAAGAATATAAAAATTGGTAGTATTATCTTATCGTTTTAAACAATAATATTAAAACCCTTTTTTACATAAAAAAAAAATAAACAGAATAAACTATAAATTCCATCTTGCCGCATGGTTTAAAAAATAATTTTTTTATTGTGAAAAAGTAAACTACGACTACTGAGTACAGGGAATTCAGGTGATTCAATAGTACAATGCCAAGCTATCGTTAGTCTGTCTGCTGCAATCATTGTTCGATCGGTAACATGCCTGACTTTTTGCTTATTGGAATTACTAATGAGTTTAAATTAAGTTTTTACTAACTCAGTGCTACGCTATTAAATCATTTACGTACTTACATTAATTCTAATATCTATGCGATTTGGTTGATTTTCATTACACTTTGAATACTATTTTTTTAAACAGTCAAAAAAAAAATCATGTTAATCGTTAAAAAAAAATTGAAGCTTCCGTAATTTTTTTATTAATAATTGTTAAAAAAAATATATATATTTATTTGACACGGAGATACCAATAGTGATACAGAATTTTTGGGACATACTGTGTAATAAAAAAAAAAATATATTTTAAAATTTAGCCATGGTTTCGAGTTTAAACCATAAAGCAAACGGTTCAAACCATTAGCAGAAAACGAAGATCACCAGTGGAGGCTCTGAGCGCGTGACTAATGGCTAATACCTATATAGGCGGTGCAGTGATTAGCATATTTTAATAATTTATTGTAATAATATACATTATGTTGGCGACGTATTTCCTACGAGGCTAAAAAAGTTCAAATACCAATAGCCGATCGCCAGTTTTCACTCATGTTATCATTCGCGTAGAATTCGAGAGACGAAAAGTAATATTGGGTCATTCGGTGTGTTGGGTGGATTAGGTACTCGCAATAAACTCGTATTAAAACGTTACACCTACAACGGTTGTGGTTTACATTTACAATTAATCAACAGTGAATTTTCAATTTTAGGACTGTTTAATTGCTGACGATAGTGTCGTTACAACTTACAATTCATTGATATGTTAATGCCGTTAATGGTGTTTACTGTTTACTGTTTTCATTGTTTTCGATGTTTGTCGTTCGATTGTTTTGTCGTTATCGTGGTGAGCGGCCACCGCGGCGGCGCGTTGTTCCGAAGTCGCGAACGCCACTGGTTATCAGCTGTTGACCTCTTTCGTATCACACGCAGTGACTTTTCCCTTATCATGTGATTTCCATATCGTAGGAAATCTTTCGATTGTTTAAGTTTAATACATTAATTCATTATTGAGAGTTGTGACTCTCCATCCACACTCGACTGGACGGCGTGTCGCGTACTCGCATTTAAACGACAATCACTTTTCGTATTCGTCACCCAATTTGTTTGTTTTTATTTCTATCGAACTCGATTTCATCAATTTACACGTCTTAGTTGTTATTTTGTTAATTTTTTTGTTTCTAAATTCTTTCGAGTGCTTTCGGGTCTACATTGTAAATTATTTTTTTTCCATGGCGTTGGTCCAGAAGAATCCACAGACCAAAAGGTACAGACACTTAAAATTGTTTTGGTTACATGTAATTATGTGTGGCAATAAATTGTATTTCATGCTAATTGTTATTGTGCTCTCATTAAAAAAAAAAAAAATTGTGTGTGTTCTTTTCTAATTTACTATGAAGTTCATTCCACAACAATTGTAATATGATGTACAGTATAATGTCAGTAGTTGTAATGACTGGTAATTTATAAATATTATGACATTTTACCCTTCTATACTTTTTTTGTTATATTGTTTTCATTTTTGGAACATACAATTTCCATTTAATAAATCCCATTGCACTTTTATATTTTTGTATTGATTTAAATTACATTTTCTTTTAAATGTTATGTATATTAATAAAATAATAATATATTAGTAATAACAGAAGTTTGGTTTTATAATAACCTAATTGATACTATATTGATGCTAAAATTATAGTGTTGCTTTTTTTGAACATATTTATTTGATTCATATACATTTAAAATGTTTTTTAATTGATTACCTTTTTTTAAAAAAACATAATAAGAACTAATATATATATAATTTAAATATTAGATGACTAAAATAAGTAATCTCATGAAATTTATATTTTATTACTTAATATTAAATTATTTTTTATAGAAATTCTATTACATACTTCAGTTAGATTCCAACGGTTGGTATCTAAAGTATTTAATTTTTTTTAAATTTGGATTGTTTAATAATTTAAATTGTATTTACTTATCTGTTAAAACATAAATACTATTATTATTTAATGACCTATTTTTTTCATACTTTTCTAGTAGTAGTAACTAGTAATAATATTAATAATTATAATGATTAATATAAAAACATTATTTTAATATACTATTTAATTTTAGATAATCCCTAATTAAACACAACTTTTTTTGTTTTTACAGCTTATTATATTAATTACGGACCTAACAAAACAAACATTTAATGTTGGAGTGATTACACAATTATGAATATTGACGACATGATTGGCAACGAAAAAATGCATTCTTTTTGTTTACCTGTTGAATCATGCGTAGTTTGTGGAGATCGAGCATCAGGTGTGTTTCCTGATAATCATTAAATTAAGCTATATGCTCATAATAGGTATTTTTATTTTCTGTCATACTTTATAAAAAAATGCATTTATGTATTTAGGCCGTCATTATGGAGCAATTAGTTGTGAAGGATGTAAAGGTTTCTTCAAAAGATCTATTCGTAAGCAACTAGGCTATCAATGCCGAGGTACCAAAATGTGTGAAGTAACAAAAAATCACCGTAACCGTTGTCAATATTGCCGTCTTCAAAAATGCCTGTCTATGGGAATGAGAAGTGATTGTAAGTTATTTTATTTGTTTTACATATTAAAAATAATCACATAAAAAATTAATTAATTAATTAGTTTAATAAAATTTTCAATTAATGAATTATTTTTTAGAAGATATTGCTAGAGCTGTATATTTAATATCTTAACATTTTGTAACTAGGGCATATGTGAATAAACATATCATAGTTTATAGTTTGTTGGAAATGTTCATTATAATAAATTAATATTAGGTATAGAATATACTAAAGTAAATTTTTTCAATAGACAGTGAAATTTCTCCTAATAGACACCTTCCAATAACGGATGTTTTTTGGTAAACAGGGACATAATCACTACTTTTCAAAAGGAAAAATTTTGAATAACGTAAATTTTAATCTTAATTATTTAAAAATAATAATAAAAAGACAACAGACAAATGTGCTAAAACTAGTTAAATGAAGATAAATTCATTCATAAACCAATTTTTTCACACTTTATTGAATTGTATTTATGTATAAATTGTACTCCTTTTTTTTACTATTTTATCTTTATTGAAATATATATTGTTAAAATATGAAAATTATTATACCATTAAAACATATCTCAATATTTGCATATGTATATTGTGTCTTCTTAAAGCATTAAATAATAATATTATAATTTAATTTAACCTAGCGCTTAATTTTTCCTTTTACACGTTTACCCCGGTGCATTCGAATTGCGTCCATGAATTATATTTTGTCCGAGTTGCGTCCGTGGTTTTATCACGACACATCCGAGTTGCGTCCGCGGTTTTCTCGCTACATGTACGAATTGCGTCCCAGCCCACGCGTTTTTTAGCCACTAACAATAATGTTTGGTGATAAACTCGTAGATAATCTGGATTATCGCTATCTTATCTGTAAATACCACCTTGCTATTTATTTGTTCGCGTTAACATCAGTCATATAACACATTTCGACATTCCATATCAATCAAATCATCATATTTTTATTTATATTTATTTAATTTTGCAATGGAAAATCTTGAAATAGTGAAAATGTTCAGTGAAAAAAATAAACTATTATATTACCATTTATACAAATGACAGTCCTCAGTCTGTAAAATTGGAAAGGAAAATATGTATATTATAAGCCAATTAATCAATTATTAACCTAGACGTAACTCGTATAGTCATACACGTAACGAGAAAATCGGGAACATAACTTGGTTGTGTTGTGGACAAACCATGGACGCAACTCGGATATCGCGATTTATATTTTTGTATTTTGGGACGCAATTCGTATGCAGCCATTTACCCTTTACGAATTTCAAAAGCTTACTTTCTTTGAATAGTAAACTCTTTCGAATATCCGATGAAATGTTGGTAATCTAAAGTGTTCACTATTCAAAGGTTTTATTATATATAATTTACAATAACATAAAAAAATCATTATGTTTACAGCTTAAAAATAACTTGTTTGTTTTTCTCATGGTTATACAATATTATTTGATTATAAATAGGGTTCGGAACTTAATGCACTTAAAAAGCACTAAATATGCATGCACTTTGCGCTTAAAAAATACAAATATGCTTTAAAAATATGCACTTATATTTTATTTTTTTTCACAAAATTTTCATTTGCACAAATATTTTATAAAATTATAAATATAGAAAAAGTAAAATAGTAAAAATAATTCAGATTTTTAATTTTTAATTACAATTTAAAAAAAAAAAAAAAAATAATAATTAAAAAATATCTTTAAAAATATTCTTAGAACAAAAAAATGCACCTGTAGAATGTTTCTGTAAAGTTATATTCAAATATAAGTTGGAATTGACAATAATAAGTAGGGAGTATATTAATGCCATCAACAATAATTAAGTAGTTATTTTTCTAGAAAAGTATAAAAAAAACCATGGTATTTCGATATCAGTTTCTATTTTATATTTGTATAATATTCTATTTTAGATAAAGCTAACTATAATTATAATTTGTTAATACAAATACATACATACTAATTAATACGGGGAAAAAATTGATTTTAATGTCAAATGGAAATTTAAAAATTATGGTACTAGAATATTTAGTATGTTTTCTCAATATGAATGTGTTTATTCTTTTTATTTACGAATTTTCATAAATTATAAAATATGCTTTAAAAAATTGTAAAATTAAGAAAAATGCTCTAAAATCTAAAAATCACTAAATAGTAAATATGCACTATAAACTTTTGATATGTTTTTTGTAGTGTCTTGGAATGAATTTCTAGCTCACTTAGCAATAAATCTAATAATTCAAAAAAAAACATTCAAATGCATTAACTTCTGAGCCCTAATTATAAAGTAGTACCTGTATACTGCTCATTGAAACTAATGAAATTGATATTATATTATTTATAATTGAAAGGTGGCTTATAATTAATATCTTTTTTTTTATTAGCTGTGCAACATGAAAGAAAACCAGTTACAGATAGAATAGAATCTATTCATAATATGTCAACTAGCCCGGACAATAATAACATTCCAACATTTTCGTATGCAAATAATTCATTTATTAAAAATGAAATGCCATTTATCAAAAATGATATTCATTTCATTAAAACAGAAATACCATATGCTGGAAATCGCTCCATGTATAATGATCAAACAGCATTGAATTTACTACAAACATCAAGTAATATGCTAGCTATTAATATTATTAATTAATCCTAACAATTTAATATAGTTATTAGTTTTAAGAACAATGCTAAGATTAATTAAAATTGTCAAGTTTTATTTTTTTTTTTAATAAAACTTTTTTTTCAGATGAAAATGATTCATCTATCAGAAATCAGAATTATATGGATTATTATATGGCTGAAGATGAAGAATCATCAGTTAGCCATTCTCCAAATAATGAACAGGATATTAAACCATTTAATCAAGACAACAAAAGCCTATTAGTGCTTACATTGGACTCTATGACAAATGCTACCCAAGTAATACATACAGTCACTTGCTATTTAATTGGTTGATTTAATAATCAAATATAATATTCATTATTTAATTAATTAAAATAATATTACTCTATTTAGCAAAATTCTAATGGTACTGATTCATACGAAGTTGAAGTGCAGAGTAACATTGTTTTAGATATTTCTGAAGATGTAATGCCAACTGTCAATGTTAACTTCCCATTTCAATCACCTAGTCCTAAATATGCATACTTAAATTTACATTTTATTTGTGAAAGTGCTTCAAGATTATTGTTTTTGTCTATAAATTGGGTTCAGAGTCTTCCAGTTTTTCAGCTTCTAACGTAAGATTTATTATTATTATTATTTTATTAAAAGCTTTCAAGAATTTATTAATTATTTTAAATAAATGTTTTTAGATTTGAAGTACAGCTCAGTCTGCTAAAAAATTCTTGGTCACAACTATTTATCTTGGGTTTAACTCAATGTGCACAAGCATTATCATTGATACCAGTACTTAGTTCTATGATAACTCATTTACAAAATGGTGAAATTCACAACTCGTCCAATTCCAGTAAAGCTAAGGAGGTAAATAAATCAATTTTTGTTAATTATAATTATATAATTTATCGAGTTGAATTTGGATTAGAAATAGAAACTAACTCAATAGTTTTTTTATGAATAACATTTTTCACTGTTGTTACGATGGAAACTATTTGGCATGTATTTTAATTGTCCATACTTGACCATACTATTTTTTAAATTTTGATTAGTTGATTTTTTTTTATGTATATTATAATATTAATAGTCTTGTCTGTATAGTTAAGCCGTTCGGACGTAATTTTGATTAATGATATATCTATATTATCTCTTGCTTTTCGCTTTTTTCTTGATTTATATTACACTTAATTGTGTATATGTTATTGCCTATTGGTCATTGTTATCAGTCAATAATATTATTATATGTGATAACATGCAATCATATTTTTCTCACTATAAAATCCAAAATTAATGACTTTCAATTCAATAAACTAAATTAAGTCTGTCTTATGGCCCTTCATTAAATTTTACTTGGAGAAGTGATGGAATCCAAAAATTATCTACTCACACATACAATTAAAACAGAAATTCATTAAATCTAAACTACACAAAAACAATTCTAAATTTATTACTAATAATTAAATTGATGAATTTGTCTACTGTTTTTGTAAATATCGAGTCTATACTTCATAATTGAGTATGTGACCGGCATTTTTATGTTTAATTTGAATTCTACTATAAATCAATAAATATTACAAATCAAAATTGATTTTAAGTGGTGATGATCTTTACAATTTTATTTCCAAAGATATTAAATTATTATTAGTTTATTTAATTAATTATTTGATCTAAATTTTATTTTATTGTATTTAAATTTAAATCAATTATTGTATTGTACTGCTTGCTTGAATAATACAATAATAATTATTAACAGTAACATGGCAGATTTAACTAATGACTAATTTTTGTCTAAAAACATCACTGATATTATATAATCTATATTTTATATGATATGAGTATTGTTATTTTTAACTTAGCTGTAGTATAGTGTGAATAGGTTCATTGTGTAAATATAATAACTTTTAATTAGTTTAAATATTTTGTAAAATGTTAGTGTTCATAAAGAATATTAAAATAATAATTTTTGTTAACGTAAGAAGTTTCTCCACCATTAATATTTTTGAATTAGGTAGGCTATGAAAAATTAACTAAAATCATTAAACAAAATTTGTTTTTTTATAAACATCAATTTTTATTAAATTTGAACTTAAAATGTAAAATGTTGCAATTATGTTTTTTTTGTTTTTTTTTTAAATATTTTTTAATATTAGTAAGGTCTAAATATTGAGTGTTCAATAATAAATAATTAGTTATATTTGATTTTTATTTGTTAATCAATTATCATGTTGAAAACTGCTGTTTTATTAGTATACAATAATAACAATAATTTTATTATTATAACTTATAATAATTTATTGTAAGTGTTAAAGAGTATTGGTAGATTAAGTTTAAATATCACTTATATTAATTTGTAAATTTTATACCAATATATAGTGTACATTCAGCAATTTGCACTCGCTTAATTCACCACTACTAACTCAGTTTTGACTTGTTACCAATCTCCTTTTTCATTCAAACTAGTTGGATTGTTTGTCCTCTTTTATACTTAGGTTTAGTGCCATTGAATCTACCCAAACAAAAATAGTTAATGTAGTTATTAATTAAAGTAAAACATTAGAATTATATACTGAAAATATTTATAACCTTAATACAATATATTATATAGGTAAATTATTCTTAAGATAGCTGCTATAAATTGAGACTATATTTTATCTGAGTATTAATATAAATTCTATTATAACTTTATTTTATTCAAACATTTTTCCATTAGTTTTTGTCCAGTATTTAATATCTCAAATCTTTCTTTTTTCTTATATAGCTTAGGTTTAAATTAAAAGTTGTTGTTAATAATAGGAAATTAAAGAATTTAGTTTTTAAGAAACCAGTCTTTCTAATAATATTAAATTATCTAACTTGAGAAACAAATATAAAAATTTAAGGAAAAAATGCTATGCTAATTACATAAGTAATATACAAAATTTGATAAATAATTTTGAAAAGACAAAACATCTTAAAATACAACTCTGAGTTAATTAATTATAATATTGTTATTGATATGTATTGTTTTGTAATATATTGTATTGATCTTTTTTTGGTAAATTTTTATGAAATTTTTACAAAGAACCCATTTTAAAATATGAAAGATGATTGGTCTATTTAATTATTTTTTTGCATTAATAATATTAATAAAGCCCATATAATGTTTGATGATCTGGAAGATTTAAAATTAAGCTTGGCATTTGTCCCTCATATTTTATCAGTCAATTTTGTATATGATTATTGTTTTGTTTTCACTTATCTAAAAATTCTATATTTAACACAAATAAAACCAGATATATTTTCTAACATTTAAAAAATTATATTTTCCCAATTTTTTAAAAAAAATGAGTTTGTTCTCTTGTAACAAACTATCATTCAATTTTTTTTTCATAGTATCAATAACTAATTGAAATTGATAGATTTAAAAATAACTCTTCATTTACTGATATATTTTTTTTTACATTCAACATTATTTCATTTAGAAATGTTTTACTATAAATTATTTGACTATTTTTAAACTTAATATTATCAAATATTATTCAACTGGTTTTTTAATGGATACTATCTTTTATTATTATTATTATTATTATTATTAAATAACTCAATAGATGTTGGAATGATTAAATTTTATCAAATTAATAATTAATTTACTAGAAATGTAGACAATTTTTACTTAATAATAATTCTAAAATTATTGTATTCTTATATTTGCTCTAAGTAAATGATCAATATTACAGCAAAATGTTAGGTTCATAAAACTAATTAGACAATATTAATTTGGTTTAATTGATTATATAATTAGAAGTTTGTTAAAAAAAATTGAAATTTTTCAAAAAAGAAAATATTTAGGAACTTGATATTATGTTTAATATATTAAATTTAAACTGAAAAATTATATTTTTTTCATGTGTTTGTAAACAATAAAAGTTTTCTTAAGTCAGTCAAGTTTTTAGAAAGTTTTTTAATTTTAAGTTCCTGATAGGTTGAAATAAAAATCATAAACATAACTTCTTGAGTTATATTAAAAAAAAATAAAAATATTAATATATATGTATTTTTAGCTTATTGACTACCTCAATAGAATACAAGATTATATTACAGAAATGGAAAATATTGAAGTGAATGAAGTGGAATATGCATATTTAAAATTGATATCTTTATTTAATACTGGTAAATTCTAAATGTTAATAAATAAATAAATAAATATTAAATGAGGTTATTGTACATAACATAAATATTCATTTTTTATTAACAGATAATCCTTCTGAAAGACAACAGTTATACAAACTACAAGAAAAAGCTGTCAAAGAATTGAAACAGCATTTGATTAAAGAATGCAATGATGAACACCGTGTAGCAATATTATTGTTACGACTTCCAACTCTACGATCATTACAACCTAATATCATAGAAGAAATATTTTTTTCTAGTTTGTTAGGCAGTTTTCAAATTGATGCTGTTATACCTCAAATTTTAAAGTTAAAATGTTCAAATACAGGTAAATATATAATACATAAATTCATATACCTATCATTTATTGCATTTAATTTGTATTTTTAAAGAAATTACAAAAGTAAAATAATTATTTATGTAATATCTATGTTATTATATATTTTGTTTTTTTTTTCAGAGTATGAAGATTTTGTTTCTAAAAACTTTGTATCATAGTTATTATGGTTAATCATATTTATGGTTTGTATTTTCGTTATAATTGTCTTGTATTTGAATTTTAGTTTTCTTATAGACTTATAATAAATATTTTAGTTAAAATATGTATGTAATAGAAGTATCTTTTACTTTTATAATTTTATTTGAGAGGAAATTCAATTTTCACTTAATCTTTTGATTTTTATGAAAATCTTAGCATCTCAATTATTAGATTAATGACAATGGGGCAAAACCAAAAATTTAACTTTTAAATTTGTTGATTGCTATCAATATAACTATAGTAAGTTTTAAAATAAAATATAAAAATAATTAAAAGAATGTTGCACTCTTCCTTGTGTTGTCTTCTTCTTAAAGCAAATAAAATAGTAAATTTGTGCCACAGTTCAATTTTTTTTTTTTGTTACCTTTAATATAAAACTTAAAGGTAAGCACATAATGGTGTCTATGTATTTTAACTATTAGTATTCTCTCATCGTTGGATATTTACAGCATTTTAATTTGAAGCAAATTATAAGGATTTTATCTTACACAATTAAAGTTCTCTTGATACTTAAAATATTGAAAAAAAAAATCAATATTTCCAGTTATTGTTGTTACATTTAAATTTTATACAATTAATTCTAAAATAAAAACTTACACACACAATTCTAACTGCTGAAATCCAATTTACTATGTTGTAGGTTTGAAAGATGAAGACAACTTATAGATATGATATTCTTATGAAATCAAAAATCATCATGATTCCCATTATACTTTATGGTAATAATTTTATTTTTATTTGAGAAATTTTTGTTAAACTATTATTTGTCAAGATAGTTATGTGTAGTTTATAAAGTGTAGTTAAGTTGTAGTAGACATAGTGTATTGGATGATATTTATTAATGTTTGCTTAGCAGAAAATATGCAATGATGGGAAAGTGGTTGAATACCAGGAATAGTTAAAAACTGGTGTGCTCATTTTGCTGTAATTTCAAAATTATTGTTCTCATAAAATTCAACTAATGATTGCGTCACGGTTATCTGTGAGTAATTATGCATGATTTATTCTTTTAATTTTGAAATTGGGAGTGATGACTTTTATTTCTAAATAATTTTCAATAGAATATTTAATTTATTATAAATTTAGCTTAACGTTGGGATGATTAAAATCAAATAAATGAATAAGTTCAATTTAAAAAATAGACCTGACAGCATATACTAGAGTAATTGTTAATTTTTTAATATTGATAATACAAATAATAGTATATTGATTCAGATTAAAACTATAATATTCAACTCTTTTTCACAATTTATAATTTTATATAACCAGTCTTCCAAAAAATTGGTGATTAATTCATTTTTTTTTTTAATAAATTTAATAAATTTTTTTTTAAATTAATTGATTAATTAAATTTTTTTCCCTCTAGAATATTGTTATAACTCATAACTATTTTATAATTGTGTGAAATAAATATATCTTATAATTCAATAGAAATATGTAAATATTTAAAGAAGCTTGTAGAAGTAAATATTATAATTATTGTCTTTAAAGAATCCAATTTTTTATGTTAATACAGAATACTTTAAGTTGCTATTCTAATTAGATTGACAATATTTGTTTTATTTTTTGAGTTACAATAATATTTGAAAACAAAAATAGAACCTTTTTTTATCCAGATATATTAGATATACTAATAAGATGTAGTTATATTGGAAATATGATACCGGTGTTGCTATATCAGAATGAGTTCTTGTAAATGATGGTATTATATCTTGCCGGTATTTACGAGAATACTATCATAATAATTTTAAATAATTTATGCATTGTAATGTATACCTACTTAAAACATACTGGCATTGGTTATACCATCATATTATTGTGTCAACATTTACTGAAGTGTAATAATTATAATGATATATTTTATATCATTAATATATAAAATAATAAAATTGCCTATATCAAAATAAATGTTTAAAAAAATGTATACGTATTGTTCACATATAAATAACATATATAGGTATTTAATATTTTTAAATTGAGCTGAAACCAAAAGCCATAATATATAACATATAATATATTTTTTACTTAGAAATCTACCCAAATAAACTAATTTTTATAATTTAAGATGAACAGTTTAAACTGATTAACTTATTTTTTATTACTTATAATTAAGTTATCTGGATACATACAAGTTTTTATTATAATAATATTATAGTAATTGAAAAAATTCAACATTGTTAAATATTATTAAATGATTTTGTACTTGAGTGAAATTCCACATTTGTAATAAAAATAGCAACACTATTATACTTTTGTTTCTTATACCTTTTTGTTGTATGTAGTTGATAAATTATGAATCATTAGGATATATAAATAGTAATATTTTTTCATTTTCATTACTATTTCTTTCAAAATAATGTTAATTTTTTAAATTATATTTTACAATTTGTTTTGCTGTATAGTAATAATAATAGTGCTTCCACTAGAATTAATATTTGACTTAATAATATAAAAAAATAATATAATTCTACTAATTATTATAGCAACTTAATGTTAAAATTAACTGTGTACATAAATAATTACTTTTTATTTTATTTTGTAATTATATATATTTGTAAAGTAATTTTTTAACCTATTTAAAAATAAGAATTGTTGATTTATTGAAAATAATTATTATTTTTTATTTTTTTTTTTCGATATACAGCCAAATTAACCTATAATTTTAACTTTTTTAATATTCTTAACTTAATTTTCGTATAAAACTAAATTAATTTAATAGAACAACATATTATTTATTTTCTTTCGATATTTTATTATTCTAAGAAAGGCGAGTAGAGTACTAGTTTAAATGGCATACATTTTCAAAACTTTAATGTCTGATTATAATTCAATCTTTTGATTAAGATGTTCTTCTCACATCTCCTAGAGTTGTTGGAATTCCTATTTTGTATAATAAATTTATACTTATGTGTATTGTTATATATTTAGCTAATTAGCTAATTTACTTAACAATTCTGATGTATAATGTTTTGTATGGGGTTTTGCAATTATCCTAAGAATATAAAAATAATAATAAATAAATTATTTTTTATTTTTTAAATCATTTACATATTATAGTTTTTTTTTTTTCAGGGTAAAATACTCTAATAAATCCTTTTAGGTAAATATGTTTACTTTTAAATTACCTCAGGGTTAGTAACTGAGACAATAAACATTACAATTATGTGTTAATATAGTATTGTTATATCAAATAATTAATAATTTATTAGTAGTGCATTATTGTAATACAAACTAAACATTTTATTCTTAATATTGTATTGTTTTTTATTTGTAACTTTAATTTTAAGTGTAGGTACTGTAAGTTAACTTTATTTTAATTTAAGTACCTACTTATAGTGATAATCAGTAACATTTGACAATAAAATGCTGTGTTTTAAAATAGGTAATTAAAATTAAATGATAACTAATGTATTATATTTTTACTGTAATGTTTCTTTATTTATATTATCACATTATTCAAGTGTAATAAGTATTTTAAGATGTGTGTACTTAGTGATTAGTGAATGCACAGCATATAAAGTTTTATTAAAATATGTTTTAATATTCAGACGGTACGCAATACGAGTACATTAACATTTCAGGAATGTTATATATTACATCTTGGAAATTGATTTGTTCGTTCACTACAATTGTGATATATTATATTGTGCAAGATAAAATATGTTTGGCTTGAAAATTGTGAATATTATATTTGTTTTCTTTTGCCCTTAATATGGTTTAGAATCAGTGGCGTTGATGATAATTTTTCTTTCTGGTAGTAAATTTTATTATGATACAATACCTATACAATTATGATTCATCCAGTCCCAAATACTACATTATTTTAGTAAATTATGTGGTTTATTATTTAATTTGTGCTATTTGCTTTGCCCAGTTGAAGGAATCAACATACTTATCAGTCATATGATTTATATTTCTACTCATCTTCGTTGCTGGTTTTGATACAAAACTATATTTCTTAAAATTTTAATTTGTTACAAAAAATGGATGAGGGAAATACACTAATTTTATAATATTCATTATAGTAGTATAATTTTTATTTAAATAATTTTAATTTTAATTTATTATTATTATAATCATTATTATTTTTATAATTATTTGTTACAGTTTGTTTTGTTTTATTTTATTTTTTGAATGAAATAGTTTTTGTTAATTGTTACCATTGAGGTTTTATTTATACTTAGCAAAATTCAATCAATGTTATACTAACTTCAAATTTGCTTTATATTAGATATTTAATTTTTTTTTTGTATAAAGCCTATTATGTTTTATGTACCTTTACTTAAGTTTTAGTCATACAAATAAAGTTACAACTGTGCAATTACATTGTTTGTTTCTTTTACGATAAAAAAGCTGCTACCAGCTCATGTCGATCTTGTCTGACTGTATCTTTTTGCAAGGCTCTGAAAAATCGCCATTCACTCCCCATTACGGAATTTCTGTCATTTTACCTGCATCCCTGTGCCGAATTTATGATAAGGGGCGTTGTCTTCAGCACTTTTTAACAATCCTTTTTTTACTAAAAACCGATGACACGATCTCAATTAGCATTACCATAGTATAAAACTCGTGAAACATCATCACAGCCGTCACAATTAATAAATAATACACAATACATAAAACATATTATAAGTACCTACTCGTAACGAACAAATCCGTGAGCACTATATGTATAATTAATTGTTACAATTTAAGGTAATGATAATTAGAGATGACCAAAGATTAAATAATAAAGTCGAAATAAGTACCCAGTATGTCATATAATAAAAATGATGCAAATAACTCATATACAGTCGTTGTTCAACATCTCCTTACCTAACGTAGATCGAGGGTAGAGACACAATTTTAAATTCTAATGATGCTATGATAATTTAGTTTAATATTTCGTAAATAATTGAAAATTTAAATATTTGCATTGTTTTTACCTTTTTACTTTCGTGAATCAGAAACAACAACGATCATATTAAAAATTACATTTTATAAATTTGCGATGTGGGTACAGCTTTTTACAAAATAATGTCAGTGTCATATTAACAGTGACACTGTTAGTTATCATTTGGTGTAATGGTGTGGAAAATGTAAAGCAAATCGAATAAAAAAAAAAATAACCAACATTTCATTGTAACTGAATAATAAAATAACCTAAAAGCATTTGTTCGTAATCCAAACTAAATAATCTTTATAAGTTAGATATAGGTAGTTCAGTGTGTAATAATTGTATGTTGTCCATCATAATTGCTACCTAAATCATGATTTGAACAGCCATCAATACAGCAAGAAGGCATTTCCAAAAATAAATTTATGTTTCAAATCTATATTCCAAGTTGCGTCGGAAAAAGAATGAAAAATAACTATCTTAAAGTCTACAATGAAAGACACACGAATTAAATAGGTATTTTATCAGTTTATCACGGAACGAATATCCATTATTTGTATAGCCTATAAAGCAGTGGTCGGCAATTAAATTCTATAGTGATTCAGAAAATTAAAAAAAAAATTTCCAGGGCCAGTAAAAGCTCAGATATTAGTTAATAATTGTTGTGTTACCTATCGTAACTATTATTGTAAACAGCGATGAACGATGAACACTGTCATAATCTCCAAATACATTATGAAATAGATAAAATATATATTAATGTGCGGAAAACCAGCATTATTAAAAAAAATTTTTTGCGGTTCAATTATTCTCCTTCTATGGGTCGGATTTGGCCCGTGTCCGTCTATTGCCGACCACTGGCTTATAGGTACGTGGTGAATTATGTTGTTCCTATGTAATATAAAATCGCACAAATAAATAGGTATAACATTCCAATTTTGTTTATTAAACGAACGCTGGCAAGCCTTAGGCTTTAAGTATGTTAGAATAGATATCAGTTTTTGATCAAATTCGGTGAATATAAAATTTATTAATATAAATTTATATTGAAATTTTTGATTATAGTTTCACAGGCAATGCTGGATTTGAATTAGCAAAAAGTTTTGTACATGTTTCTATGTAGCACAAATTGATTTATTTAATGTTTTTCAATAATAATTATGTACCCAGAATCTAAATAACTGTATGGTTATATGTATAAGATATTTATTATTAATAATATATAAATAGTTAAAACTTCGGTAGAAAATAATTTTTTCAAGCTTTACATGTATAAATGATGGTAATTTAAAAAGTACATTTTAAATGTTTAAGCATACACGAGTACAAGTTTTTTGATTATTGCATAAATATAGCCATTAAAATAACTGCAGTGTAATTAGATATTGTGTAATTGTGATGGTTAATAAACAAAAATTATAAATTAATATATATATATATATATTATGGAATAAAAATTAATTAATAAATTACAATATGCAGAATAATTGTTGATGTACTTATTTATGTTGGTAACTGACTCTGACACCACTAGGTAACAATATTATCATAAAAAATGGTTCCCATAATTAGTAACCAATTCGTAATAATTTGTAACCTAAGTTAAATCATCTAAAAACATTTTAATATATAATATTTATAGGCATCATATCCTATATTTATCATAAGAAATAATATAATTTCCTATAATACAGATAAAATTAAATTACCTCTTAAGTATTAATTTCTTTGAAGAAAACACTAATGGAAATTTTGTTAGATCAATTCCAAAATAATTATAATGTTCAGCGAAAGTTAAGAAGTATGAATATTTTGGACTGTTATAAATAGTATTCGAATACTTATATTCTTAACAAAATTGATCATGTTTTGTTTTTTATGGAAAACAAATTAACAATTTAAAGTGATGCAACAAACTTAAAAAATAAAATAAATATTTAATTACGTCTTAATACATTATCACATAATCAGCCCAGATCACAGAGCAAATAATATACAACATTGGTTGTGCAAGAAATTGTAGAAATCAATATTAAAGCTCAAAAAAAAAATAAATAGTATTTGAAACTTAAACAGTCATTAAAACTCCTGAGAGCATATTAATATAATAGACTATAAATTAAATTATATAGGTAAACTAAATATAATATGTATTTGCTAAAAATAAGAGTAAAATTAAAAATAAATATATATAGGTATTTATTATAAAATATTTATTTTTATTTTTTAACTAAGTATTTTTATACCAAGAAAATTTTTGTTTTACCATTAATCTGTTAACATATTATATCAATATTAATTTAACTTAGTTCGTTGTACAAATGCTATTTAATCAAAAAAATATTATCAGTATCTTACTATTATTGACCAAAATATTGAACATGAGATAAAAATATTAAAAAATAAGTTCATACGTGTTAAAATTATAATATATGCAGTTTTAGGTACAGTAGATTTTTAATATGTATAATTTTTTTTTTTTATTTATCAATGCTTATGATCATAGATAATGTATTGTAAATTATAAAATTACAATCCCTGATAGGAGATTTAATCGTAATAAAATTGTTTATTATTATATAAATGTATTATATAGTATACTTCCGTTTCCGAAAAATTAAGCAATTGAATAGGAATATGTGGCGCTATCTATCTTGTCTTGCAGCAGATTAATTAAAAACATTTCCATAAAACTTGTATAAATATTTGAACGTATTAAAAATGTGTGTTATTTATATTTAATTGTTATTTATTTTTCTTTTTTTTTTTTTGATTCTCAAAATAAACTAGCTTTTTATTTATTTATTATTGTCATCGGCGGTAAAAAAAAAAAAAAAATAGTTATTTTTTGATCAAAGATGATTATAGATTCGTAATTTATACTTGGTTAAAATAACTCAAATAATGAAATAACTGTTAAAAATGTATACAGCTTATATTTAATGGAGTTTAAAAGGGGTTAATTTGCAGGCCTTTAATTAATAATTTGTTACGGACAATGCTGTGTAGGATTAGCCATATATAAACAATAAATTAAATTTTAATTTTAAATGATACATTAAATCATTATTCCTTTTAATATCTTATTGCTTTAATAATAATTATTCATGTAGTTTGCTGGAAAATAGAGAAACAAATATTCAAATATGAATAATATAAATTACAATACAATATTAGATGATCAAACAAAAACTGAAAAACATATAGGAAGGTAAAATTATAATGAGTTAAAATACTACACAGGTCTGTGCATAATGGGGGAGTTTTTTGAGGGGGGTAAAACCAATATTTACTTTTTTTTTTTGCATCCAGATCATTTGTTAGTATAGCTATTGACTTTATCGAATTAAAAGTAAGTTAACTTTTACAAGACTCATGAAATATATGATGTATGATCAAAAAACCATAATTAATTAAAACTTTTCATATATTTATTTAAATATAATACTATAATTTTTTTGAAAAACCTCTTTTATGACGACACTTTGCGCACGGACTTAATATTACAACGATCATTGCTTGTAAAATAAAAAGATCTTAAAAATTGTGATAATATACAAAAATAATTATTAATAAAAATATATAAATAAATTTTTTAATCTAATTTATTGTTTAGCGCAAACAATTAAATAATCAGTCAAGAGTTGCTAGTGTGCCGTGTTTAAAAAAAGTCTGAAAATCACAGGTGTAGATTAATCTCGCAGGAATGGGTGAACTATATCTCCGCGTTATACAATATTAATATTTTTTAAATAACAAATATATACATAATTGTATTGTTCGTGAATCATGGGTTAAAAAAAAAGACCATAGCGCCGGTTTGGGATGGGGAAAGCCCCTTTTGGATCCCTATCCACAAAGGCGTTATGACACGGCGCACCGACAACGTAACGTTTATATTAGTATGTAAATATAATATAATTGGTTTCAAATTTAAACACGATAATGCGAAGCTTTATTGACCACTTTACATAGGTATACTGATTATTCTTGCCTAACATCGTCGAGTTCCATAATTAAACGTCGTTGCAATGATGCATTTAATATAGGTATAGGTAGGTGTACGTTCGCTCTGTCGTTATCGATTACCGGTCGCCTACTCGACACGATACGATTAGATAGGTACCTCCATCGAATGGATTTCAGTCGCGACAATAATCCGTCCATTGCGCTATTGTGGTGCTTGTGGTGTAGTTCGCTCGTCGATCGTTCAAACTGTAAGTGCTCGACATGTCCAATAAAAGCCGCTGCAGTAGCTTAGCATCAGTCATATCGCGTAAGTTGTTTACGTAGCGTGTATTGTAAATTGTAATAGATTACAAAAAATTATGTCGTATCGATCGAATAATAGACGCAAGATTTAGTGTCCGTGTAAACTCAAGTCGCCAGCTCACGGTCTCGCGTTTTTTCGGATCGTATGATCGGACGTAGGTATAGGTACGCGATGTACATTTGGTGGGTAGAACACGGTTGCGAACGTTTGTTCTTTCTGGCATTATGATTGCGTATGTTTGTGGATGGGTTGTTAAATGTAGTCAAATTTATTAATTTTACCATATAGTCAATAAATATCTAGTAAAATATGTACACTTCTATAACAATCAATATAAAATATCAAAATATACCAAATGAGAATAATTAAATAATAGTGAAATAATAAATAAATAAATAAAATAATCAATAAATCATTGTTAAGCTTAATATTTTGTACATAAGAGTATAAAAAAATCAGGTAAAATCGTACGCAATCATGTACCTTAAAAAGGTATCACCGATAACGAACGTACGCAATCGTGTTTTACCCCACTTGGTACACGATAAAGTCGTACACAGAATTGACCTCCGTGTTTTTCGGTTTTTTTTTACATATTAAGATGCAAGTACATTTGACGTTGGAAAACAAGCTAATCAACGGCAGTCATAATCTCTCGCGCGCATTAAATAATAGATCTAATGACTTTTGAAAAACGGACGACAATTCAACGGTTGTAAAGTGCGTGAATGCTGCATGTAGTTTACTTTTATAGGTATTGACATTTACGTCAGATTTACTTTCTTGTAAAGTATTTATATTTAAACAAAATTATCTTTCTACGGTTAAATATTGTTATTAAATAAATGCCATGGTTAGATTAGAGTATTTACCGAATTTTTACGGAATTGAAATAATAATTATCCATGATTAACCGTTTATAAGCTTAGGTACTACAAAACTAAGATTATTGTGGAGAATAATATAATAACGAATAAATTAATAACAATTAAGCGATAATTATATTATTTTGTTTTTCTATTAATACAAAACGTACAAACAATATTAATTATGCCTTTGAGCCTATTAATTTTAATGAGCATCTTCTACCTGTAATAATTGGCTTCCTATATGTTAAGTTAGATAAGTAATTATCAATTTTTCTTAGTTTATAATTTTATAACTTTATTAATTTAAACTCTTTATTACGTCAAAGCATTTTTTTTTGATTATCTAATTCTAATAATTACTTAGGTATCTATAATATGATTGACAAATTTAACTATATAATATTTAATTATTTTAAGGGATTTTTTTTAAATTCGTGCATATTATTTTAATTTATATTAAATAAATAATTATCATTATTTTTTATTATTTATTTATATTTCGAATTATAGAGAGATTAATCTTGACTAGTGACTACCTTGAGGTTGATGATTTTCTGCTAATAAAATGATAACTAGCTCAATGGATGTAAGTATTAGTCTTAAATTTCCCTTTAAAACATTTTGCATAATATTAACTTGATATGAAATTTATAATGCAAATTTACTCTAATTAATTATTGAAATGTTTTATTATTAGTATACAATTCAATTTTAAAGTTGCTTAATGTTTAAATATTGTTAATGGTAAGATTTTTATTATTTTAATCTCTTCACTTAATTTTAAAATAGCTCACTTGTTTGAGCACTTTCATTACTTAGTATTGTTCAATATACATATTTTATTTAAAGATTATTAATTATCGGATGTATCTATAAGTAATATATAAAACTTGCATTCTACGTATAAGAGTTTCAAGCAGTGGGGTAGCCAAGATTTTAAAATGGGGGGACAAAGCCAAAATATAAGGTGAACAAATATACTTTGAACTACTCTTATTAAAACATGACTTGAAATGAAAAAAAAACAAATACAAAATTATATCAATTTCAATTCTTCAAACCTATAAAATCAATTATATAAATATGTAAATACGTTGATATAAACAATGGGGAGGGGGACATGGCTAATTGTCTCGTATGGCCACGCTACACCACTGGTTCCAAGTTAAAATTTTAAGACAATTTTTACTATTTCAGTTTACAAAAAAATATTAATAAAAAAAATAATTGGATCACAAATATGTACTATTTTAATAAAAATATTTTTGATAAATCATATGATTTTTAAAATATATCAAGCATGAATTTAAATAATGTAATAAATATTGTTTGTATGTTGTGTAATGAATAATATGATATATTAAAGAAAATATGTTTATATTTTATATCATTCGCATTAAATTAAGTGTGTTTTTTTTTTGTATAAATATCTAATATTTGTTAATAATATATTATATGTATTACATGCATTACCCATTTTAATTATAATTTTCTTATTTTTTTACAGATTTAAAATCAAAGCCGACGGAAATGGAGAAAAAAATTATTGCAAAAATGTTAGATTATAGTGAATTAACTTGTTCGATATGTTTTGATATTTTTGAAAAGGTAAGTAATAATATAATATTGGTAACAATCAGATTATTTTATAAGGCTGTTGTGAATTTTATTCGTAATGGAAATGAATTCATATAGGTAAATTGTTTATTATTTTATCAAAATCATACGATATAGTCCATAATATTTAATTATATCTATAATTTATATTAGGGGTGAACAACTAGTTACTCTTGTCATAGATGCGACTCGTATCTTATTAAATCAAAGTTCAATTATTATTATTAATTTAAATTTTTTTGGTATACATTAAAAAATAAATTATTAAAATACATGATTATAATGTATTTATAAACATTTTGGTTTTTGGTATCCATGTGGTTCGCGAACATATTCATTTTGGCCAGCCCGAATCTACACTATGAATATTCTCCGATAAATACATAAGTACTAAGTACCTAGTAGTTGTGGCACTGGCTGTAATTTTTCTAGAATTTTAGTCTTTTAAAATTATTTTTAAGCATTATTATTATTTTTTGTATGAATTATATTTTATACATCTGTGTCTAACAAAAAATTTGTTTTTCTTCGTTCAATAATGTTATATTCTTCACTTTATTCTCATCAAAAGTTAAAAATATACATTTCTATATAATTTGTATTTTGAAATGAAGAAAAAACTTTAGTTTATTTTACCATACTTAATTTAAAATAATAATATTTGATTAACTACAGTGTACCTATAATATTTGTACTTGTACATATTTTATACCCGAATATTTTATTCAATGAAGAATTAATAATGGACTCTTATATATTTTATATTAATAACAATAATTATTTATTTATTTAAAAATTTTAAGCTCTAATTAGTCTGATTAATTAATATTTTTTTATAGTGTACTTTTGAGATTTTTTATGTATTTTTTGAATTTATTTAGCTAAATTTTGTGAGTTTTTATTGCATTATAATCCCAGCCCTACTAACACCTGAGTAAATTTAATTTCATGTTTAAGTTATATTATAAGCACAGGGTAAGTTATATAATATATGTATGTTGTATATTATAGATGAGCATCTAATAATATAGGCATGTATTATAGGTATCTTAATAGGTACATCAACTTATTATTTATTATTTTTAATAAGTATAAGAGTTCTTAAAGTTTTCAAGTTATTTGATAAACAAATATCATTAAAATAAGCGTATTTTGAAGAAAAACATGTTTACATATAACAAAAAAAAAAAAAAAAAAAATGTATAGTAATAGGTACCTATAAATAAGATGTCTTTGAAATCTTTATTTAACAAAAATTATAATACCGCGGTTATTCATAACAATAAGTCAAGAGTTGTGGACTTAAATTGTACAATATTGTTTCATAGAAATTTAAGATTTAGGAATAAATATTTATCATTACACATGCTATCAAGTTGCTTAAGGCCTGTAAGTGCTGTTATCACCGTAAAGATAATTTAAGAAATTTTTTTTTTTTTATTGTGAGTTCGTATTCTTTGTTTTTGTTTTTGATTTTAATTCTTATAATTATACATACAATTAATTTAGATATAATATAATATAAGTTATACCAGTGGTTTTACATATTTGGTACCTACTGAATATTACTTATTAATAAGTAACAATAAGTTGAATTTAGTTTAAATTTCGTCAAAAACAAATTACTCGTAAATATTAAATTGCATTGTTAAGTTTCATATGCTAATTTTGTAATAAGAAAAAAATGTTTCAAATATAAATTATTTAGAAAAAAATACTCTATCCGAATATGTAAAAAAAAATTGATGTTACCATTTAAAATGTATCGCGCATGCGCGTATCGAAAGTGTTAAAATTTGAAATTTGTCTTAGAATGTGTAGTTAAGTACTATCTATCATTCAGTAAAAACTCCATTTCAATACAAATTCATCGAACTGAAATATTTAGTGGTACTTCTTAGCGTGAATACACTGTATAATCAATAGTTATAGTTATAAAGTATGAAACTATGACAGTATACTTGTATTTTATTAAGTATTAAAATAAAATAATAATTTAAGAACTCAAAACTTTAAAAAAAAAACAGTTTCTTAGTGAGACGTATGTGTGTGTGTGTGTGTGTAATTTGCAGGATAGTTGCCTATCTAACTAATAGTTAGATACTGTAAAGATGAAAAGGAATTAAATTAGATTAATAGAAGGAAATATATGAATAATATAAACAACTATTATAGAGTTGAGAATATAGTCTTAGAGAAAGCGAAGTCTATAATAAATAAGAATGGATCTATGGCGAACTTTTTTTACAGAATCTGTGACGACATTAACAACCATCAGATGGCGCAACTCTAATGAATTTCGAAAAAGCTAGTTCTTAGCATCAAAACATTCATTTATTAAGTGCAAAGTTTGAATTTTATAGCATTAAATAATTATTATAGGGTAAAATAGCAAATTTAGCTATAATTTGTCTTGCGTACCAAAAACTACAAATATAAAATTTAATTTTGTTAATTTTTGCATGTTTGAAGTAGATTTTTAGTTCTATTTTTAAATGTTGGTGCTTTTTTGTATATCAGTGAATTTGCTATTTCAATAGCTGCGACTGATTCAATATCGTAATTTGAAATTAAATTTTTTATTCTATCAAAATGATCGCAGTAGTAGTAGTAAATGATTTCAAGTCACGTACCCCATCTTATTATATTCAGGAGATAAATCAAAATCTGGACAGAGTTTTATAAATTTTGAAACACGACTTGGCGCTTTTAAGAATATTTTTTTAATGGTCATTATTAACTGATTAACTTCGAAATAATTATTTCTTATTATGTCTGAAACGCGATATAAGCCATGTGCTAAATAAGTCAAATAAACCCGTTTAGGAAAAATGCTTTCAAAACACTACCGGCTTTAACCATTCAAGGAGCAGCATCGGTTAAAATAATTATATATTTCCTATTTTACACTATTTTTTCATAATAAATTCATAGAATAATTTAATAGGTAAATAACTAAAATATGTAAAAATATATATTTATATTAAAATATGTAAAAATATGTATTTTACATTTGGCTTTATTTCAAATGGAATAATTTAAATTGTACATATTTTTTATCAGATTTAAAATATTCGATTCCAATACAAATGTGTATTTACGATAAAGTCCGTTTCTTAAATTAATAATAATAATAATAATAATAAACGTTAAAATATATAGTAAAAAGTGGGCAAGTAGGTAGCCACTCTGCTGTACAGTTTACAATAGGAGTAGAGTCATTATTGAGTAACTTACCGTAACGAATGTATTAAATTTGAATTCAATGATACATAATCATTGGACACCAAAAGCGGTTCTGAGCAGAGACGGTCTGTAGCTTTATAACTAACAAAAAGAATATTTTATAATAAATTTGTATTGCTATTGCAGTAATTTTTTTTACTATGAATATAATACGATAGACTTAATTAATCGCTAACAAAATATCTCCATAATGTACAAATTAATATTTTATTTTAATTGGTCTTTTATGCTTTATTTCGTTACAGGCTCTTCTTTTGTACTAATTGTACTACATTTGTGATGTTTGTAAAGTTATTTTTAAAGCAATTCAACATTTCTTTTGATTTATTTGAAGTGTATAGAATTACTAAATTAATTATAAATAGATTGTCAAGGTTATATTAAAAGCATTAGTGGTGTCTTTAATTATTTTTCAATTCAGTTTTGAACCATTTCCGGCTCTAACGAGTTATAATTTTTGTCATTTTTATAAGTAGTATATTCCTATATTTTAAGTAATGCTGTTTAAGGTTTTAATTAATATAGATGTTTAGATACAAATATAATAGATAGTAAATGAGTGGGTAATATCTTATATACGCCGAGGAATTTATAAATAATATAATTTGATTGTACCGTCGTAATTATTAACATAACTGTTCCGAAACCCATAAAAATTATAAAAGCTATAATAAAAATATTTATCAAATAATTATGGTTCTGTAATAGCCTTAGAAGTATAATAAGATATTATTATTTAAATAAATTGGTTTGAAACTGAAAAAAGTATAGAATATAAAATAGATGGTAGGTAATTAAAAACAGATTTTATTATTCTATCAATACATTAATACCATTTGTTGCATTTTAACTCTAATGCATTGTAAAACGTCAATACGACTATGCCTATACAAAAATAAAATATTTTCTCCATGTTAAAAATTTAACATTTTATCCAGCTACTTTAAAAGATATTATAATAGGTAATAATTAAAAAAAATGTATATAATATGATTGATAATTGATACATTTCTATAATTTGTTTTGTTTAAAATAGTAACGTATTCGTAATTTGTGGCCAATATACTCGTATGTTTTTTTCTAAGTGCGTGTTTTTTGAACAGCGAGCTTAACACGTTATTAAATACCGACTTCAATTCTTTGACAAAACAAATATCACGTGTTTGCATAATTCTGAGAACTCCGGGAGTCCGATATATAGGTACACATAAGATATACATTTAGATATACATCACTGCATTAAGCGATCTAAAGACCTCGATTGTGGTCGTTTTTTATACTTATGAACTATACATACATAATATTAATTGCGTTACCTACGTATATTTAATTTTTTTTTCTCTAAAAAATGTGCCTAACCACGTTATATCGATACACATAGGTATATTATACAAGTATTATAATATGTAATAGGTATCATACGATTTGTGTCACGTATCGCCAGCAGAATGAATTTGATTTCACTACCCATTAATTGTAAATATTTAACTGATAATTTTTAACACTTAAAGTCCATATTAACACGAATTAGTCTCATATCGTTAAAAATAAATAATTAAGTTTTATATCCCAATATGTTCAGTGACATAAAGATTATACAACTTTAAAATAGATACCCAGATGACTAAATGATAATAAGTGTTAATTAGTACCAGGAAAAATGATCAAACATAAAATATTATAAGAATACTTGTTAAAAATCGAGATTCAGAAATAATGTGACGTGATATTTATTAAATTTAAAATTATTAATTATATGTAATAAATAATAATAATTAACCACATATATTTTTTTGTGGTATACCTAGTTACTATAATGGTATTGGTATAACTAGTGAAAATGTTTGTTTATAGCTATAGATTAAATTATATGTATTTATATTTAGACTTTAATTTTAATTTTTTCATAAACATAGAATAATTATATTAATGTTTTTATCAGTTTTTCAAAATATATTTATAAGAGTGAGCTTTTTAATATTAAAATATCATGTATAAAAATTAAAAATTAATATAAAATATTTAATTACTGTTTTTTTTTTTTTTGTGGTTTTACTAGCCATCAGAGTTGAACTGCAGTCATGTATTTTGTTTCAAATGCGTAAAAAATTGGATGCGTAATAACAGGTCATGTCCAATATGTCGGCGAATTATAATGGATCCGCCAATTGTATGCATTATGTTGGAAAAACTTATTTCAGAAATGAAGTCATCTTCTGTGTCTGTTGAAAATCGACGTTATACAAGTAAGTTTAACAATATTGTATTTTAAACTGCTCTAATTTTTAGCATATAATAATTATAAATATTTATAATTTCAATAATTACAAAGGCTAATATTTAAAAATATTTCGCCATTTTTTTAATATTATTAAAACAATTTATTTATAATTTAAATGTTTAAAAAATGCTTTAAAAACGTAATAATAATTTTTTATTTGTAATATGAGTTAATTATTTGAATAAGAATAATATATTATAAATAACTTATGAGGAACCTGGTCATTGGTGTAGTGATCGCCGTGCAGGATACAACGATCGTTACTACAATTATTGTTAAAACGACGTAGCACGTTTGTTGCAGTCCTGAGACGTATTTTAAAAAGCTATGTAACAAATATAAGTTAAACACTTAATTCTTTAAAATAAAATAAAATATTTTATTCTTATAAATTATAATTTTAATAAAAAAAACATTAAGCATGGAGTTGTAAGCTCACTAGACCTTCGACTAATGCTGACTATCTTCTAAAACGTACTAGGTGCTTTATACTAAGTATTTATATGGGTTCTAACAATGACGTATGGTAGCATGATATCTTATATTCAATATTTATTACAGTTACTGCGAATTAAAGTATTTGGTGAATAAGTAAAACAACCTGTTGTTTTTACCTTTGTTTTAGGCTTCATGTTACTTAGGCTTTACACGTATACCGTGCATTGGCCATTGATAATATATTACTTACATAAAATAAGTATATTATTGGTTTTAGAATTTTTTTAACTAGAATAAAATTTCAAATGTTATGATAGTGTTACCACAAAGTAACATATTTTTCGATATTTATAAAATTACCATTTTAACAATTTATATATAATACATAAGTATAATAAATAATATTATGGTTATTATTATTTTTTAAATCATTTAATTATTTATTATTGATAAGTTATCATTTAGTAGAAATAGAGATATAGATAGCATAAATGTTATTTTTTTTATATTTTAAAATTATGTAGACAATATGCATTCAATACATACATATAGTTATAATGACTAAAATGGATTAAATTTAACAGTACAAAAAATATGTATGGAGTACATTGATATACATATCTATAAAATTTAAAATCAATGACAAATAGATATTTAAAGAAATTGAATGGACTAATATTTAAATGATTTTGGAATTAACTTTTTTGGGATTCTTTAAAAATATATATTGTTTTTGAGAGATGAGTGGAAGTCATAGTAGAGTGGAGGTGCATGATGACAAGTTAAGTTTGATATTATTATATTGTACATGGATCAGGAGATCTTTGATTTGAGTTTGTGCGCATAGTATGAACAGATATAGAGTTAAGATTTTGAGAGTTGTGGGTATCCTTGTAAGATCCTTGTAGTTCAGAAAATTAAAAATATATATATATTTATGTAGATTGCTTGATTATATACGGCTTTAAATTAATCATTTTTCTTTAAGAATCATACTTAATAACTAAATATATACGAACATAATACATACATATTTATAAATAACTTTTATATTAATATTTTTATTATTTGTCTTATGTTAGTAGGTACAGTTTATAAAGCGCAAGAATCTTCATCCGCATCACGTTCGGCTGGTAGAAAAGACCTTAGTCATCGTCCTCCATGGAGATAGAAAATATGTAGAACAATAATAATCTTTTTAATATATAATATCCATATAATAATCTATATTTAAACTTTTTTTTAAGTCAATAATGTTTATTATTTTTATTATTTTAACTAAATGAACAATTTTTAATATTATCCTAGACTCTAGAACCTATAGAATAAATACAGCCACGAGGGCTAGTTATAGAGTAGACTAAAAATATTTTTATGTTTTAATCGTTTAGTAAATAATTATTATTTTTATAATGTTAAGATGAGTAATATATTTTTAACTTTTGAATATTTTTATATAAACTTATTTTTAAATGATTCTTGATTCTTTTTTATCGAATATAATTTAATATAATCTTGTATTTTTATAATAAATAAAATAGATATATTATCAATGTTAAAAAAATAAATTAATAAAAATATTACAAGAAACTAAGAACTATGAAGTATCTATATAGTATTACATTCACGAGTAGATAATACAATAGTTAAGTTTAAGTACTATTAAATGAAATCTTCTAGGAAAGTTATTTTGAGAGATATTTGTGAGTTTCTAAGTTCTTTCTTCAAGTTAGTAATAATTTAACAAGTTTATTTCAAGGTTTAAAGTTTAAAGGTTTGAAATGAAAATTTAACATAGATTATAAGTACAATTATGGCTAATAGTATTTGGCTAAATAATTTTATCATCATTATCCTTAAGGTTGTAAATAATAAGTAGTGAAAAAGTATAAAAATTATTGAAATTTACGTCGTAAAATTTTTTAGCAAAATATACTTAAGTTATTAGGTAAAATAAATGTATTTATAGGCTATAGTTATTTGAAAAATAATTGATTATTAGAGTTTCTATCAATTACTTCTTATTTTAGTATTTTGTTTAGTTTTTAAATATTTTGAAAATTCTATATAAATATATTAGGTATAAATATTATGTTTAAATTTGAGTATAAAATAGAAAATTAAATGGATGATTTTAAAGTAATTTAAACGATAAACAATATTTCGCTGTTGATAGTGAAACCATTTGCATTTATCTCAGTACAATTATGGTTTTCCTGGAAGTAATTATTTGATATTTTTCAAATATACCTATACCCGTTTTTATTTTATCTAGTTTTACCGGCTAGTCAAATTAGTTGAACATATTTTTTATTTTACCGCCCGCGGCATGTTTTTTAGGTTGAAATCTACATAGGTACCTACTAATACTGATATGTTTTAAATTAAAAATAACAAGTTGTACCATCATAATATTATAGGAATTAATTAGAATCAATGAATAGGCTATTACCCCCGTAGGCCGTAGTTACAATTGTTGAAGACGGTGGTTATTAGGTAGGTACATAAATATTAAATATATTATTTATTATTTAACATAAAAGTCTTTAAAGCATAAAGATTTTTAGTGTTTTAAAAAATATATCAAATATTCGTATATTAAGAACACATCTATACATCTTTTTTGAATTAAGCTTGTATTATGTTATTATAATATAGTGTTATTTTTTTTTTTTTTTTTTAATTAGCTTTTATTAATCAATATAGCTCAACAGTTATAATAATATATGATATTAAATATTCAGTTTACCTGAATTTAAGTATAACAATTTTCATTAAGGTTATAAATTAATTTTCTTATTTTACATTTGATGTGTAAGAGTGTAAGTTAAAATTTGTATGTCTTCAATTTACTGTCAATTAGAGTAAAAAAGCTAAAAAGTTGTAAATATACATGTCTAGATTTTTCAATTCAGCTACACCAGCGTTTCTCAAACTGTGTGTCGTCAGTCAATTTTTGGTGGGTGGTGAATAATTTTTTGAATTATACAGATTCCAAGAAATGTATGTTAAATTAATATTAAATATATTATTATGGTATAATATTGCTATTATTAAAAGTACATTTGTAAAAATATATTGATTATAAACCTATACAATAATAAAAATAATAATTTAAACCTATTAAAAGTACCTAATAAACAAATTTTGTAAAAAAAATTAAAATTATATTATATTATTATACATACATATATTTATATTTTTTTAAATTTAAAACTTTACAATTTTTTTTATTTTATTTAATTGCTTTTTGAACAGTGAAACCATGTGGCCCATGTGGATCGTAATAGATTTTTTGGGGGAAATTAGGTCGTGGTACTAAAAAAATTGAGAACTACTGAGCTACACGACTTTTGGTTATGTTTTTCATTTTTACATAAGTACATTTATTTAACATTATAAAATATAAAACAGTATTTTTGGTACAACACTAGATTCTTATAAAATAGTAATTTGTGCAAGAAATTAAAACTGTTTGTATATATTTTATTAATTGTACTTTCCATATTCACTTAAAATAACTGCTGTTAAAAATTGTTATAATATTAATTTTTAATTTTTCAACAATTGATGTTACTTACTGATATTTAATGCCAAGGAAAAAAAATGAAGATCAGTTATATAAAAAAAGAAAACTTGACTACGAAACAGTTGTATTAAAGTTTAGTAATAATTGTTTAAGTATAACTTAATTTAAATAAAACTAAATATATTGTGTTTGGCGTTTAAAATCCTATATTAAAAATTAATTCAATAACTCATTAAATTCATTCAAGGCTCTATGAAAAAAAAAAAAACAGTATTCAAATTGTATAAGTGCAGATATTGATTGAGTATACCATATTAAATATTTAAATTTGTATATAGATATTAATTTAAAGTGGAAAATTGAATGTATTGTGTCGTAATTAGAACATTTTTCTTTGGTCTTAAGAATTTAAGAGATGTATTTGATCAAAAAAATGTAAGAATACTTTATAAATTTAATTTATGCTATGAGTTAATCGAAATGGAATTGAAATATAGGGTAGTATAATTAATATATATTTAAGTAAAATAATAATAACTCTAAATACAATAATTAGATTAATTTTAACTTATTGTTAAAAAATAATACAAGTTTAAAAACATTTTGATATGGTTAATTTTAATAGATTTTATAAAAATATAAAAAAAAAATTAATATTATTAGCCTTTAAAAATAAAAAATTCATGTATACATGTGATTATGTGAACATAAAACTAGGTATCTACAAGAAAAAAATTAATATTGTTTTGACGGTATTATGTCTTTTAGATTTAGAAATATTTTAAACGCTGTAATTAGTATAGTATAAATAATAATAACTAAGTACATATTATAATTATTTCAAATAGTTTCTAAATAAAAATTCATATTTATAATTATGAGAGAGGTTAAATACATACTCTAAAAAATACTTTATCTTATTTTGATAATAATTTTATATTATATAAAATTATAAAATGACAATACACTAATGCTATACATTTTTATGATTATTCTTTTTAAAAATAAATATTAATATAGATTCTCATTTATATAAGTTTACTTTTACTTTACTATAATATTTTATTTATAAACTGTAAATTTTTATTCATATTACAGCCACAGGTTAAAGATCCATAGAATTTGAAATATTTAAAATTGGAAATATTATTATTATTGGTAAATAAAGATTATTATTATAAAGAGTTTTGTTTTTGCATTAAATTTTATTTTAACATTGCTCGTATAATTAACGTATACAAATAAATAAATTATCTAATTAAACATTTGAAATAGTTTATTAATTATGAATGAATGTAATATTCATAGGTAATTGTATATACATATGGTATTCAATTTCAAACCAAATTCAAATTTTGTTCAGGCCATATTTTTTACCAATATTTTCAAATTATTGTGTACAAAATTAAGAAAGAAGCCAATATTCAATATATAATACGTTTTTTATAAATAAGTAATAAGTAATAAGAATAACCAAAAGTTTTTATGGAATATAAATTCTTCAAAATCGTACCATATAGTTGCCAATTTGGCGTATTAAAGTAACTAATTTATTTTAAAATATAGTATCTAAATTTAATAATCTTTACCATTTATTTTTTGGATGATATTAAAACAAATTACAACTGATATTAAAATTGTACTTAGTGGTTTATTCTGTAAAAATTAAATAATATTAAAATACTACAACAATTATATTACATGGCACTTACGCTTATTTTATTATAAAAAATTGTATACAATGATATGAATATTATACTATCAGAAAAAAAAAATTTACTAAGTTCTTCGGTTCTTTGTTTAATTAAATATTATCTTATTTTTAAAACTGAATACAAAAAATACTAGACAATTATCTACCTAATATAAAAGTCTATCATCCGGAAACATCTGATGATGAAATTCTATGAAGTTCTAAACAATAAGGCTAAGTGACAGGTAGTAGCGTGGTGATGGGGGTTTCCAAGAGCCTCGTCTATTTTATTGTATACTATATCACTCGCAAGCGAGTGGATAACTGCGATATTTTCCAATGACTAGACTTATGAAAATGGCCGTTATCTTCACGTCTGTCACGCCGACTTTTGATCAAATCATTTTCCCATCACTGTTTACGAGTGCGCGTACAAAGCGTTCTTTGCAATGCAACCGCATTCCGTTAAAACGAGTTTAGCACATTATATCCGTGACTCTGCAAGTCACAAGCCATCATTATCTCCGATGAAACGCATCCTCTGTTTTCCAGAGATACGCGTCGCTCGATTTCTAAGGATACGCGCCGGACGGCCTGTAAAGTTAGATGTGCATCAAAGTACATAAGTCGATTGTGTACAAAAATAAAATTGGGGTGCTGGTCTAACATTACATTAGCACCGCCGGATAAATACATTTTTTGGGGCGTGTCACGTAAACATATGTTGTTCACAGATTTTATAATTAGCTAGATATGCAATAGTGTAAGTCACTCTGCGTTCTCCCAAAAATTCGATTTCATCATATACGTCTCAACGACCGTTATTGATGTTGTTTAATGATTAGGTAATCATTATAATTAATTAAAATTAGTGCATTTACAATGTATAGGTTTTTAAAATTCAAATAAAGCCTAGGTAAAACATGCAGGTCACGTTATGTGCCATTTGATTGA